TTTGTTTCATTATATTCTTGTCTATAATGATGAAACCAAAGAGCATATGGTGACACTGATGATGGGTTTTACCTTGAGGCAGAAACTCAGGCCCTCGTACAGTAACTGAGCTCTACACTCTTATATTGGCTCTAGAAATTGGGAAATGACCACAGCATTGTCTAACATAGATTAACACACATATTCTCCACATCTTACTTTTTTACGTGTTATCATCTATCACCTTCAATAAAATGAACCTGCCAAAGAAACTCTAATCATATTAGCCTTGTACACAGTTGACTTCTAGCACCTTAACCTGTCGCAGCATGTGGATGTTAAAGATGATGATATTTTCAGTAATGAAATGAATTACAAAAGGAACTTATTTTGGTTAGGTAAATCTTACATGTTACTCTTCTTCCATTTTTGTCTAGTTTACATTTTTGAGTGTGTCTCCTCTTTTATACAATCATAGAGTTATTTAATATGATTAGTATGATTATTGAGATCTTTTGAAAACAAAAGTTACTGTGAAATCCAGGGCCTTGAAATACAGCTCAGGCAAAACTGTGTACTTAACACTGTGATACCCTGTGCTAATCCCTATGGATGGAAATGACACAAGGGACAAAACATTTCAAAGAGTGAAAGAGATACAGCTCTGACATTGCAGTGTACTGTTATCCTTCAAATCAAAATTTCATTGTTTTGAATTTCCTCCGAACTGAATATTATTTTAAAATATTCATTAATTTTACAGTAACATCAAATTGGAGAGTACTAACAATACAATGCACATGTGTAGTAATCTTTATCCCATATTTCAACTAATTTTAGCAGAGTTCATTTACGTTATTTCTTTTCGTTTACATTATTAAGTAGGGATTTAAAAACAAAATTACTACATCCAGTTTCAAGGCGATGGAAAGAAATAATCTAATTTGTTAAAAGTATTAAATCCTGGGTTAGGGAGATGAGTCGGCAGCCTAAGCACCTTCTTGGCAAGAACAAGGACCCTAGTTTGATCCTCAGATTCACAGAGTTCATTTACATTATTTCTTTTCGTTTACATTATTAAGTAGGGATGTAAAAACAAAATTACTACATCCAGTTTCAAGGCGATGGAAAGAAATAATCTAATTTGTTAAAAGTATTAAATCCTGGGTTAGGGAGATGAGTCGGCAGCCTAAGCACCTTCTTGGCAAGAACAAGGACCCTAGTTTGATCCTCAGATTCACATATTATGCCCACCCCAAAACAGGACATGGTGGTGCACACCTGTAATCCCAGCACTGGGGAGGCTGAGACAGGAGTATCACTATGAGTCCAAACTGCGTAGTGAGACTCTACCAAATCAATCAATCAATATTTTTTTTAAAAAGTATTAAATACTTTAGAAGAAATAATTTTATTTCTTAAAAGTATATTTTATGGGGTGGGGAGATGACTCAGTAGAATAAGCGCTTGGCTGGCAAGCACAAGGGCCTGAATTCAATCCCTGGTTCCGCCAAAAAAAAAAAAAAAATGAAGTACACTTTATTTCATTGACTCCATGAATGGAGAATTCTAAAGGCTTAACTATTTTTGGTCTTCATATAATGTCTGCTAGTCTACAAGTCAGGAGCAATGATATTTTGCCAACCAGAAAGCCTGTGCATTTCAGTTATACACTCAAGATTTGGTGAAACTCCAGACTCATTGGGTCCATCTTGGGATGGGTTTGAGTCAATGTTCTAGGAGCATCTGACTCATAATTTCACACTGCAAGCAGTGTATGACAAGATTTCTTTGTTTTGTTTATTATTATTACTATTAGTATTGCTATAGCAATTTTTTCAATTGGGAGTATCTGTCTGTGACTTATTAATGACTATATTAAAATGTACCCCCATTCAGATTGCAATTGGCTGGAGATATAGCTCAGTGGCTTAAGTACGTGGCAAGCATGAGTTCCCGAGTTCAATCCCTGGTACTGCAAAAACACAACACAAAACAGACAAACAAAAATCAGATCTGCAATAGTGTGAAAATAGAAAAGTAATTTCAGTGAATTAGTACATTTTTATATATAATTATGTTTGTCTGTATATTTTAGATATTCATATGATCAAAGTAATCAAAGTGGTCATAGTGATCAAATTTCATAGGAAATTTGTACCTGTACATGATAGATGGACAGACGGATAGATAGATAGATAGATAGATAGATAGATAGATAGATAGATAGATAGATAGATAAACAGACAGACAGACAGACAGACAGACAGACAGACAGACAGACAGACAGACAGATAAACAGACAGATAGATAGACAGATAAATAC